CAAATATAATTTCAAAGGTTTTTACCTTCCCCATACTAAAAGATTTTTTGAAGTCATTAATGGAAATAATGTTTATATTGATGATTTATATATATTTAGCAAATATATATATATGTTATATGCTATAGGTGTGAAAGGGTATATGAGAGAATGTCAAAGCTTCCCCTAAAAAAGATCAAGCGCTACATTAGCTTATCCCTGGGGTAAATAAGTGTCAGATTAAAAACATAAATACAGCGGTGCCAAAAATATTTTTGGTAGCGTTGTTGAGTACATTTTTGAAATATTTTCGTAAGAAGGAATGTTAAAAAAAAATATGTGTTTATAGGTCAAAAATTTTTCAAACACATTTAAAATTTTCAATTTATATCTGAAATATTTTTTAATAATCGTACACAAATTAATGACTATGCTCCATTTTTAAATGCCCAGTTTTTTTTTTCTTTGGAATTTGTATTTAAAATGCTCAATTATTGATATTAGTTTATTTTTTTAATATGTTATATACATTTATAAAAATATCAAGACAAAATTAAACAGAGAGAAAAAAATCATTCCCAAGTGAAAAAATTAATTCTAAAATATAAAACACATAGTGGTAAAAGTTTTATAGCATGAACCAGGAAGAGAGAGGAACAAAAAAAAAACGAAAAAGGAGATTCCTTTTCTTTGTGTGTTTGAGGTTATAAATAATAGAGATATATTTTATATTTCTCACATAACATCACATATATTTTATTATTTATGTAGGAAAAGATCTATACATAGCTATATAGACAAGATGAAGAATTAACAGCTGAGGAAATTTTTTCGTGGATATTCTGCACATTCTACCTAAAATTTTATTCCCGTGATGTCTTCAAGTGACACACAGAATCTTTCTCAATCGTTGAGCTTGAACATGATTAGTAGAGATAATCTTCCAAGAAATAATGTTAGAGAGGTGCGATGCCATATAGTCAATGTTTCAGTAGTTGAATTGCATCCTGGACAACAGCAGCTCGCGAATCAGTGTTCATTCAATATTTTCTTAATATAATCAATGTCGCAGGATATCATTTCTGCAAACGTGGCAAGCACCATGTCCAATGGCTGGAAGGGAGAGTGAGACCAACTTCCTTCCCTTCCTAACTTCCCGAGCACACAAGTGATTCGGCCGTGAAGCATTTTGGCTTGAAAGCTTTCTCAGTTTTATTGGAAAAATATTTTTAAAACAATTTGTCATCAGTTTAGTTCTCCTTTGTTTAAATTATCCTGCTATACATGCGAGATAGAAACTTGAGAATACGCTAAACCAAAAATTTAAATAACTGAAATATCAAAATTTCAAACTAAAAGCAATATTCTAAAATTCCCAAAGCTATCATGGAAGCTGTCTTTCTCTACACATACAAGGGGGGGGATATAATATAAAGCATACTCATTGATCTGAGTCTGCGCGTATACTTTACACAGATAACTAGAAACTAGGATGCGTGCTCCTTGAAGATATATAGTTCTATAGCTGTGAAAATTTCGTTCAGATTAGTCACATATTGTAGGAGTGTATAAAGAACACACAAACAAACAGACCCATATTTATATTTTATTTATATAGATTTTTTTAATGAAAAATTCTAATATGTTGAAAAATAGAAGTCATTTTTGAAATCAGCTCACCAAAAATCTTGCAAATCAACTTCTCCTGAATTTTTCAAAAATTTCAATTTCGCAGGCCTGTGTTATTGGAACTTTTTCTCTTTAGTAGAGTCCATAATTGATAGAAATAAATATATTATAATCCTTATTTTCTTCCCGAAATATAAGCTTAGTACGAGGTGTGTGTTCAAAAAGTATCGCGACTTTTGAATTTTCGCGGGTTACGTATATTCGAATTTCGATCTTTTGTGGCTTTATGTTGGTACTCATGTCTCTCACTTATGCCGACAAGTTCGGCCATTCTGAATGTTCACTTAATTGTTGACAGCTGCTTTGCTTGCAGGTGTTTTGGATCGTCTTCGATTTTTACTATTAAAACAATGGATCAAAGAACCTGTATCAAATTTTGTGTGAAAAACGAAATTAAGTGCGCGAATGCATTCCGAATGTTGACTGTGGCATACGGAGAAGCTACCTTGGACCGAAACAACGTTTATCGGTTGTACAAAATGTTCTCAGAAGGCCGAGAAGATGTGAACGACGAAGAGCGTGCCGGACGCCCGAGCACTTCAACAACAGACGAAAAAATTAATGAAGTGGAGAAAATG